TTGTTCATAGTTTTGTCACAGCCATGTTTTTTCATAGTCATGTTAATCTTGCTTTGTTACTTTGTCCATAGTTTTTTCTCACAGCCTTGTTTTGAACTTTGCCCGCATCCACTCCGTTTGAGTGCGTTTTTGTTCCAATAAACCCTTGTTTCACATATCTCCACGGCTGAGTCCTCCCTCCAAGATCCTCCCCCTGAAACAAAAAGACAAAGACAGCAAAATGACGAAAACCCCAAAACATACTGGCCCGGGACAAGGGGAAAACGAGGACTATTTAAACACATCAGAGAAGGGAACCCCAGGTGTACACAATAGGTAATCAAGGAACACATGACAACACAGAAAACGACAAAAATGACATGAGTTTTATTTTTTAAGAACAGAACTGGGGCGATAACGTTAGCTAGCGACAGCTGTCATGGCGATAGCTCCCAGCTTCCTCTGGCCAACGGGCAGCAGAACTTCCTGACATTGTCTCGAGATATTTCCTAGAAAACGGACGCGCTCTGGCATCGAAAGGCTTTTATCGTCTCTCACAGTCCTTCTTCATCGTCCGGATGAGGTTTGGATCCTGTTAGAATCGGGCTATAATTACTCACTTTAGCATAGCACGCTACAACTTAATCCATGTAAATGACTGATTGTCTTATTCCTTTTTAGATTCATATTATTCCCTTTATGATTTCTACTTTTGTGTTAAACTCTCTGGCTGTGTGTACTCCTCCAGCAAGGGGTCAAATACTCAAATACTTATTTCCCCCACTGTATGTTATAAGTAGAACATTTCTAAAGATGGTCCAGGAACCCGGGGCTGGCTTCCTGGGGCCCTCAAAAGTTGGACACTGAATATTTGGGCTCTTTATATATATATTTATATACTTTTTACAAACATACAATAGAACTAAAATCATCATCTGTGAGACGGGGGAGGAACCTAGACTGGGAGCTGTTAGAACTGGGCTATAATTACTCACTTTAGCATAGCATGCTACAACTTAATCCATGTAAATGACTGATTGTCTTATTCCTTTTTAGATTCATATTATTCCCTTTATAATCATACTTTTGGGTTAAACTCTCTGGCTGTGCCTCCTCCTCCTCTCTCTGTTACAGTAGATACTCGTCTTTAAGCTCAACATCCACACTTTCTTATCATATTCCACCAAAATCTGCATGAATTAGGACCTGGCCTGTTCGTGTCAGAAGAGGAAAACTGCCCTTCACACCCAGAAATCGAGGCTCTTTGCTAACTGAGATCCTCCGGGAGTTTTTGTCTGTTAGAGCCCAGCTGGTTTACTTTACCGTGACCAATAAAAGTCATATTTGTATTCTTGATCTGCTCTGGTTTATTCTCAGGCTTCCAACTAAAGAACCAAAACTAACACCACAATGCGGCGATCGGCTCGGTGTCGCCAATAATTACCGATTGATTGATTACTGATGTTAAGACGGCGTTCACTGAACGATTTCTGACCCCTTTTTGACACGATTTTTCACTCGTGGGAGAACTTATTGGTCGTATCTGTTAGATTTTAGCTGTAATTACTCCCTTTAGCATAGCATGCTACAACTTAATCCATGTAAATGACTGATTGTCTTATTCCTTTTTAGATTTATATTATTCCCTTTATAATTATACTTTTGGGTTAAACTCTCTGCCTCCTCCTCCTCTCTCTGTTACAGTAGATACTCGTCTTTAAACTCAACATCCACACTTTCTAATCACATTCCACCAAAATCTGCATGAATTAGGACCTGGCCTGTTCCTGTCAGAAGAGGTAAACTGTCCCTCACACCCGGAAATCCAGGCTCTTTGCTAACTGAGATCCTCCGGGAGCTCAAAAAACAATACGATTTTGAGCAAAGTTTTTACCATTAAACTATGCAAAAGGTGTCAGACACAAAACATTTCAGAAACTTTATGTATCAAATATGATACATTTGGCAATACAGGGTTAAATACCATTTTTATGGTTCTTGTTAAAGCTGGTTCTCGTAAAAGCACGTTTATACTTGGGATATCATTGATAAGGTTTGGAATAATTGGAATAATTGCAATAATATTAACACAGAATATTAGTAATAAACAGGTGATGTAGTTTTATTTAGATGAGCTGATCTTGTATGTGCAGAGTAAAATAAAGTGACTTTAACTATAGGTCACAGCTTTGTCAGAACGCCAACTTAGGGGTATTATTATTATCATTATTAATGATTATTTTCCTGTGTTATCTCTTTATTTGTAAAAGGTAACGGCAGTACCTCTGCAACACCACACGACAGCAGCAGAGATCAGTGGTGAAAACATTATCCACCTAAACCTGGAGCCAGGAAAGCCCCAAAGCCAGAGAATGGGAGAGATTTAACCCTATAATGCCAAATGTATCATATCTGATTCATTCGGTTTCTGAACTCTTTTGGATCTGAGACTTTCTGCATCATTCAGTGGTAAAAGCTTTGCTCAAACCCCTGTTGTACACATTCAGATATACCTGATAACAGCCAGTAGAGGACTACACGGAAATACATTTCTGACTTATTGCACGCTAATTTGATCAAATCATTTCTATTAATATACATGAGAAGCCAGTCAAGGTTGTTTTTTTACATGTAGAAAAGACTAAACGGACAATAACTCAAAAACTCAACTCAACTCCAAACCCACCTGTTTAAAATTTCTTACCCACCTCACCCCTAACTCTAACATTACCCTCATTTTGCACAGTTTTATTCATTTAATTAATCTATGATATTTTTTATTCATGATGTATTTATGACTTTGTATGTTTTCTTGTGTTTCAATGTTGTTTTAATGATGATCGTCTTTGTAAAGTGTCCTCCAGTGGCATGAAAGGCGCTTTTTAAAAATAAAATGTATTTATTTAATTAACCCCATAATGCCGAATGTGTCATATTTGATTCATACGGTTTCTGAAGTCTTTTGGATGTGAGACTTTTTGCATCATTCAGTGGTAAAAGCTTTGCTCAAACCCCTGTTGTACACATTCAGATATACCTGATAACAGCCAGTAGAAGACTAACCCAAAATACATTTTTGACTTATTGCACGCTAATTTGATCAAAATAATTTCTGTTTTTTTTTCTTCATATGTTGTTGAGGGGCCAAAGAAAGACTTCAGACAAAAAAAATCCAATATTTTTTATTTATTTATTTGTTTTATTTTTAAAAATTCTTTAAAAAAATAATAAAATAAAATAAAACAGATAAATAAATAAATAAATAAATAAATAAATAAATAAATAAATAAATAAATAAATAAATAAATAAATAAATAATATTCTACATAATATTCAATATTCTTCTTATTTTTCTTGGATCAGGCTTTAAAGGGTTAACTAATATTGACATTGATAATACTTTTAAAATATATATATATCATGACTTTTCCTCTCCACATCGGGGGGGGGGGGGGGGGGGGGGGCACTGACACACCTTAAAGAAATCATTA